TCCTAAAAATAATAAGCCAGGTATGTGCTTTTCAAAGATTGTTGCTGATAGTCTGTTCCATCAATCATGCTTTATCTTTGAGATTATTACTCCTAATTATTTTTATACTGAATAAATTTACTATTTCTGCTTTGTAGGAGATACGATGGCACCATTAGAAATCCACAATAAAAATGGAACATCACCATCGATCATCATCAACATAAAAAGACATTTTAAATTAACTAGCTTTTTTTTCTTATCTTCTTTTAATGTTTGCTTTCTTATTATATATTTTCGTGTATGCTTTCTTTTTATTGTTTTAAATTTTTTTACAGTTTTGTTTTTCAATAAAAATCAAATCTTAAAATATAATCTTCTCTGCTTCTTGAAAATAATACCGCATATTTACAATAAACATGAGCGACGTCTTATGATCTGTCTATGCTCAAAAACATGTATTCAATTTATTATAAGTTTTGTTAAATGTGAGGGTGTATGGTTCTAAAAAACAACTGATAGACTCCATCAAATAAAAACTTAATCAAATATATATTAGGCTTTCTAATCAAAAGAGCAAACAAATTTCATAAAATTGACTCATTCAATCTATTTTTCCAATAATTATCGAAAGTCAACATTTCATTTTCAAAGTTTATTCTACAGTGCACAACTAGAAACATATTCTGTATTTCACAAGACAAATTGCAAGGCTTCAGTATTTTCCGTTGGCGTTAGTAGAACTTCCAGCCACATTTTTTAAATAAACAGTAACAAAAACAATCATTTTTTTCTTTGAGTCAATATACTGTATCATCATTCTATTATAGTCTCCTTCTATCGCTTTCAATCGCATATATCTTCAGTTTCAAAGGACGTCCACCGTTATACGCTACTAACAGAAGCAAGCAAGCATGGCTTGATGTTTACATTTCTTTCTCTAGGTTACACGTATTCAAACGAAAAAGAAGAATGAAAGAAAAAACAAAATATTAAAGTAGTTTTATTTAATGCAGCATGTTTAACCGATATGCATGAATAATTTTTGTGTTCACTTGTGTTTCAATGCCTTGGTACAGTTATAACTTTATTGGATTGTTATATATGAGTATTATTTCAAGGTCAATCTAAAAACTCAATTAAACTCGACAATTATCAATTTTTTAAAATTATGAAGTTAATCATAAAGAATTAAATAAACTGTATCGACAGTAACTTCTAGATTATTTACTAATATAACTAAAATTTATTTTATTATTTCATCGACTATATAGTCGAAACAATGTTGTCAGAAAGACATTTCTCATTTATTAGAACCGAGATTTAAATATCAACAATTTTAAAGGATTTTTAATATAGGAGTTCGACATTTAGAGAGGAACAATCAGCTATGAAATATATAGTTTAATCTTTTGCATCAAAAAAAATATCATATTTCGAAGCATTTCAGTTAATTAGTTCGAATTTCTCGATCTGTTTATAAATACTATAAGATTATGTTTCATTACTTTTAGATAACAAACTGATTAAAAATTCTTTTTTTATGTTTTAGAAAATGATAATTCATGAAGAAGATTATGATACAGTAAATATTATTTTTAGCTATTGATAATCAATGTGATTCACAAGCTCTGTTTAATAATATTATTTATTTATGCATTCATGTAAATGAATTCTTTCAAATAAAATATTTTAGATTTTTCTTTTGTTTTTTTTAATTTAGCCAAATGAAGTTCTACTATATTTTGGTATGTCAACAATGAGTACATATTCATTAAATTTATTTGAACATGTAATAAATAGTTGACTTGGTACAATACCTCATTTCATTATAAACAATATTGGCACAATAAAAACTATCGATCAATGTCATTGAATTATTTCTTTTCTTACAATTATTTTGATTTATGTAGTCGAGAAGAAGATATTTGTATTTGTTGGCCATTATTTTCTTTATTATATTGTTCAATAAATCTTGATGATAATTCATGAAGTGGCATATTGTTAGCAAAATTTTTTATTATTGATAATCACTTATTAATATTATATGAACAATTTAATCATATTCTACAAATGTATCTATCATTCTTAATAGATAAACAATTACATACAGTTACAGCAGATTATTTTCCATTAAAAAATACAGAACTTCATCAAAGGTACACAAGAATATCAAGATCATATATTTGAGAATGAAATTCTTTTATTAATTAGTCGTTCTGTTATTAAATTTAATTTGCTTGATTATTTTTATTCAATAATTTTTGGAAAAATCCATCGTTTCGTTTCGAATACGGTTTAAATGCATTCGAAAAATTTATATTAAAAATTTCAACATCAGTTATAGAAAGTATATATATCATTATTTGTTGTTGATCAACTTGATATTAAACTTGGTTGAACTTCTTCAATTATAAAAAAACTATTATAAAAAGTTAAAAGAAGAAGAAACAACAAAAATTTTAAATATTAAAATTGGTTCGATGATGGATGGAAAAATAATTAAATCAATGTAAATGTTTTTAAAAAATATAACAGTAATAGCAGATTATAAAGCTTTTATTTTTTATACAAATATATTAAAGATATAATAAAAATATTTTAAAATATGTATAAAAGTTAAGAAAAGATGCACTCAGACCCACACCATCAATAGTGTCTTAGTATTCATACTATTCTTTACATATGTTCCGTATTGTCGTTGATTGAAGACTTTTTATTCTTATGCAATGCATTGTAATATCAAATCTAGTAACGAAAATATATTTATCCATGTTATACTTTCCGCCAAAATGTTTTGGATCTGTGAGCTGAGTAAATCCCAAAAAAAATTGAGCTCCGAACGGTCTCTTATAAAATTGATTGGTCTTTTGGCGTACGTAGTCTTAATGATTGTTATAGATATTTACTAATAAATAATGCAATTGTCTTTGTAGCAGTGAGAATCAATCCGTATCAAATCAATTAAATACAAGAGGGTAGTAGAACTTATTGAAATAAATTCTATCGTACCTAATCAAATTACATTTTATTCTCATTATATTTACCTAAAAACAAAACTTCCATTGAACCTATTATTAACATTCACAGATCAAATACATCTTCTATTAATTAGAAACGGACCACAAAAAAGACAAAAAAGACAAAAAAAAAAGATTATACAAATACAAAACAACACTGAACTATACCAGAAAAAAATCTAATCTATATTAATGAATACGAGCACAGAGCACAAAAAAAGATTTTCCTGAGAGAGATTAATTATATTAACAATAATCACAGTAATTATGTATCAATTTGATCTCCACAAGTATTTTTTTCAACACCAACGAAACGTAAATGATGATTGGCTCCATAGCGATAATCAAAAAACAATTCTTCGCCAGCAGTTATAAAACGTTTGGAATAAATACCAATTCTATGATCACCATTAACCATAATAACTTTAGCATAACAATTTGGATTTATTGAATGATTAGCAAAACGTATTTTATTTCCACGACGTGTTGCATCAACCATATATTCTTCATTAAGATCAAATAAGAAACTTGTACCTATGGTATCATACATTCTTCCACGTAATTCACCTTCATCTTGTGTTAACTAAATTAATAAAAATAAAACACAATACTATTTGTTTTTTTTTATTCATTTTTTACTTACAATTTCTCCACAATATTCAGCAATAAATTCATTTCGTTGTATATTAATAGTTGTAAACATTCCCCAACCAGCTACATCAGATTCTGCTAATAATAAAGGTTTATGTAAACTACGTTGTATAGCAACATTATGACATGAACATGATGTACTTGTTTTTAATTCATTATTAACACTACGAAAATCATCTGCACCACATTGTGTACATAAATCAGGATCACATTCACGTGCAGCAGCATAACATGGACATTGTTTTGTTGTACATGATGAACGACAACGACATCCAGGAAAACGATTATCACATTTTGTTGGTGAACAACAACAATATTTTTCACAAAAATTACCAGAACGTACACAATAACAATCTTCATTACATGGCATTGAACTATCATGATCGCATGGATAATATGTATGGCGTTTCTTTTCGGATGAAAGATTATTATGATGATTTAACAATATTTGTTGATGACTTCGTTGACGACGAAATGATGAGGAATGAGAACGACGAGATGAAGATGAACGATTATTAGGAGTCTAGAAAAAAATAAATTTATGTTTAGTTTTTTTTAGGGTGAGGGAATATAATTCTTAAAAATCTCTTCACATACTAGATGTTGTTCATCTTTTCCATTACACATTTTTGTAGTATCTTCTGTTGATTTATCATCATTATTTGCTTTTGATAATCCATGAACTTTTTTCTTCTTATGTTGTTCTCCATTAGTTTTTATATCATTCGAATCTGATGATGCTGAACTAACGCCTGAAAATGAACCAACTGTTGATGATGTACTCATTGTTGAAGATTGTCGTTGTAAAATATGATTTTTTTCATTAATTTGAATTTCATTTGTATAAAATACATAGACTTGTGAACATGATTTATCAAGTAAATCAGCAATCATACATATATTATCACCATAAATTAAATAAAAAACTCGAAATAATGATTTATCACTTGCTGACCATTCAGATAATTCATCGGTTAATTTTCGTTTTAATGATGGTTTAAGAAGAAAACCATTCGATAAGAAATTATAATTTGGTGATATTGGCTCAGTTTTAATCATATTTAATTTTGTACGTTTTGAATGAAAACCATTCAGAGGTAATTTAAATGTTTTATTATCAGGTAAATCACTATAACTTCGTTTAAGTTCGATTTTTGTTCGTCTTTGTGGAATAGGATTTGTTCTATAGCAATGACGACTACATGGACGACACATAGGATTAGAATTTTTAGGTTCAATATTAAGATCAGGTACAGCTTGTTTATCTCTATGTAAAAAACAATCGTATCGATGACAACGACGACAAAAAAGCATAAAATATGAATGTAAAATATTTTCTACAGTTGTATCAACTGCTAATGATGAATTATCGATATTAGGTGTAAATTCTTTCGGTTGTAAATGTTTTGATTCAAATATTGTACCGAATCGATCTCGAATAAGATCGGCTGAGGATGAATATGTTTCTAAAATCAGATATAAATATTTTATTATGACAAATCGATTTTATACTTACTAATTAATATTTCGAATAAATTTGATTCATCATCCACTGTCATAGGTATTGATGTATGTCCTGGCTGTTGTTTAAGACGCTTTAATAATTCCATAAGATGGTCTTCATCAAGAATAATTTCATTTTTTTTATCGTTCATTGGTGATGTTTTCGATAAACGACGTGTTCGTTTTGATGTAGAAGACAATCGAATAGCTAGAGTAATAATAATAATAAGAATTTAGTATTAATTCAAAAGTAATTATTTACGTTGTTCTTGATTTGATGAATCAGATTGAACAGAATTGAGAAGATTTTTAATATCTTCATCCTCTTCTTCTAAAACTAAATCTGATAGATTTGTAACTGTGTCACACTAAAAATTAATAAAATCGATTTCTTTTTTGTTTATATTTAAATAATAATCTTACTAGATAATTTCTTTGTAATGGTACATAAGTAAACATATGAGGTATTGGATCGATTTGTGGTAAAATTGAAAGTGAACAAATTAATTTTTCACCAGTTAATTCATCATAAGAACAAGTCGTATAGAGTTTCGAAATTTGTTCATTATGAATTGGCTCGGAAGTAATAGTTGGTTGTCGTAAGTCTTTATAGTGTTCAGCAATTGTTGCAAAAAATGACCTGTGAATATTTATTTGTTTAAGAAAAAAAAAAAGAATGTGAGAATTTGCTATTATATACTTACACTACATCACGTCGTTGTCGTAAATCTATTGTACGAGAGATATGTTTAAATGCTCGGTCAATACGCTCTTTCCATATAGGATCAACTATACTCTTCTCATTTCCAACATCCGTCATAATTTTTCTTTTATAAACGTCTAGATTTCATTTATTATTATTATTTCAAATTGAACACGTTACAAATCTTTTTCTTCCTTCAACAGCTGCAATCAGCTGAGTATAAAAAATATTGTTTTTTTTTTCATCGAATGATTGTAATCAAAATTATACGGTGAACGGACAATAGAGGAAAAAGTAAATATATATATTTGTAGCGCTCGGTTGTCAATGGTTGGTGTTCAGAAGAAATTAACCAATGATAAAACAAAAGAAGATTGATTGAATGATATAAACATAGACATATATTTAAAAATATGATTGAAAATAACGAGAGAGATCAAACATCTTTTTCAATTTTTATTTGTTCTTATATTGAAATCAACAGCGATGTATTAACTAATAGATGAATTTATGATTTAGAGAATGTTCAGAAAGTTTTCGATCAAAATGAAAAGTATGTGTTATATTTCTACTTCATATGAAACGAACTGATGAGAGCGAAGACTTTCATTGATATAAATCTCGTTATTCTAGTGTTTCAATCAAGATTTTCAATGAACGATGAAGAAGTTTATTAATCAATCGATATTGTTAATAGAACAAGAGAAAAAGAAATTGGATCATCAGCAGCTCGTAATAACGATACGAAGCATTTGCTCACCAGTTATAGTTTTCTACTTTTGAGTTAAATAGAGAAAATTCAGTTTTTGAGTAGGAATTGCAATAATTTTGTCAGTATAGTTTGACTTAATTATGATTGTTAACATATTGTGAATACATTATTCATTCATTACACTTTTAACTGTTTTAATTAGCCTAATTCTTTTTTTTATGTTTGATTAAAATGAATAATGGCATAAGTTTCTGGTCTGGAAATTTTCTCATTTACCTAACATATCTAATAGACTAAGAAAAATTCTCAGTAAAAGTTAAGATTTCCAATGAAATTCTTTTCGACGTCTGTCGTAGTTCCATTGGATTTTTACGTCTGAATAAGTTTCATCATATATTTCTCCGTTAATAATATTCTTTTATCACATTTTCCCAGATTTATATCCTCACCCATGCAATATTCTGATATTAACGCCATCTGTTAACAAAACGTCATACATTGGTTGTAAGATAAACTGTTAAAAATACTAAGAAGAAATAACAACAAACAAGCTAATTTTACTATTCCGACTAGTTATTTAATCATACAGGTCATTGATTACATTCATTAAGACTTATATTGTGTTTATAGATTCATATTCTATAGTCTATTGATAACTATTGATTTTTATACATATTGAAACACACACATATATATATATATATACAATGCCGCCACCAACTACGACGGTATCACGAAAACGAACACGTTCAACAAATATTTCTGAAAGTAATAATGATCATGAACCATCAACATCAACTATGGTTTCATCACTACCAACTAATCCAGTTCCTCCGAAACGTCAACGTAATAATCCACCATCTGTAGAATCACATACTACAAATTATTCACTTCGTAATCGTTCCGTAACATCTGATTCTCAACAATCACAACGATACAATTTACGACCACGTCATCCACAATCACAGATTCATTCATCTCAAGTTTCTGTTCCACATTCAACTACAATATCACATCGCACTCGACGTCCTATATCGTCGACATTAACAACTAGTAACAGTTTACAACAAGAACAAGCAACACCATCTACTACTCAACCACGTCAATATCGTCTTGTTTATATATCCGATGATGATGATCAACCAACAACAACTACACAAACATTAACAACAAATATGAATACAACGTTTAATTTAGTAACTGATAATGAAGATGATGAACCAATACCTCCGCGTCGAACAACAAGATCAACATCTAATACGAGTCATAATATACGGTTAATATATAAGAAGAAATTTTTTTAAATCAAATTCTAATTTACTTTTTTTTCCGTATTCTTTAGTTCTCGTACAGTGACCGATCCAACAAGTACAACAACAATTGATAATCAAGATTTTACTACTGGCGGTGTAGCACATGTTCGCCTTAATCGTGCTATTGAAATTGTTATTGATTCTATTCAATCTCTCGAAGGTGCTGTAAATAATTTTGATCAACTTGTCTTTAGTCTTATTTATGGTCGACTAAATACACGAACTGAATTTGAAAGTCTTGAAGTAAAACAAAAAACAATTCAAATCTTCATTTTATTTTCTTAAAATAATTTTTTTTTAAGGGTATGATTCGTTTATCTCGAATACTTAATTTAAATTTTCCATCACGATTAACTCAAGATGAAATTGATGCATTACCAAAAATTAAATTTCTTAACAAATCTGAATTAACATCATCAACACTTTTAGCTGAAAAATGTCCGATTTGTTTAACAGAATTTAATGATCAAGAAATAATTAATAAATTACATTGTACACATTTATTTCATCTTCAATGTATATCAACTTGGCTTAGTGTATGTTTTCATTTGTTCTATTAGAATATTTTTTTGTTAATATATTATAATTTTTCAATAGGAAAATGATTCATGTCCAACCTGTCGTCGAAAAGTGAATGGAAATTAGAAGAAGAAAAAAACTAAATATTTTTGTTTGTTTGTTTATATGCCATATGAAATATAAAGAAAAAAAAAATTAGACAATCTCAAACCCGGTGACAGTGTTTTCTTTTTTTTCTTTTTGCTCTCACTTTGCCGCTCAATGTTAATCTTTAAATATATTGAGCAAATGATTATTTAAATGTGTTCATTCCTTGTTCTTCTTATTTCTGTATAAAAGAAAATGGCGTGATATATACTCTTCTGTTTTCTTTTTGTTCTTCTGATGTTGATTATTTAGTAGAATGTTTGTGTGTGTGTGTGTGTATTTGAAAGCAACAACAATAAACTTATCTATGAATAAAGCTATAAAGAAACTCAAAATTACATACGTAGACAAATGAAATAGTTGGATGTTATCGAAGAAAAATACTGATTATTTATGCGAATATAAAAACATATTGACAAAAGATTTAGTAATATAGATTCTTTTTTGTCTTGTCATATTGTGTAAACCTTTACTTTTACGACATTTTGAAAGATAAAACATAGAGAGTATATCATTTAGAAAAACAACACGTTGAGTATAATGGTTCTTACAAAAAGACAGTGGATTCTTATTGGTAGTGTAGCATCTGTATTAGTAGTTGCTATTGTTGTAGGCGTTACAGTAGGTGTTGTAGTTGGTCGAAAAAAACCTGAACAAGAAACAATACAACAACGAGTACATGATATATTGGCAGAACATCCATTGATTGATGGGTAAGAAAAACAATAGCGTGAAAACTACAAATGATTTTGAGATTTTTGGAACTGAAAAATAAATTTGTCTCTGCATTGCCTATAGAATGTACTTTAAATTTTATCTTTAGTTTTATGACGAGTGCAGTATCATAAATGTTGACTGACGTTCTGATGTATAGTAGATAAACTATAAGTATGCATGTAAAATTTGATAAATAGTCAAAATAGTATTAGAAGAATAACATCTTATGATAAGAATTCATGCTAGTACTTAAGATCTTTCAAATGTACAGTATTATTCTAGTAAATATATGGATATACTTGCGTGTAAAAATTCAAAAAGACAATTAGTTCGAAGATCTAAATTTCGAAAGATACTGTTATAAAATAGATATACAAAAATTTTCCTTATTTTAATTATTAATAAAATCCATGAATATTGTTTTTTTCTCTCAAAATTAACTAAACCCTCTGCTGTAATAAAAGATCCCCCCCCCAACATAACAGGAGACCCGGATCTTCAAATTAGAAAATAATTTTTAAGTTATTATTTTTTTCCCATGAAATTATCTATATTATTGTGTGTACTGTGGAACGAAAGATACAGAAGAATTGAAAACATAGTAATAGCTCGTTTATGCACATCTATAATATGTTTTGTTCACATAAGAACAGACACAAATCGACTAAAATTAAAAATAAGAGGAAAGAAACATTTAAAAATTTGTCTGAAATTTCACAAAATATTATATTGATTTTTGGCAGTTTACGCTCACAAAATCGTTTTAAAAGACCACGCCATAATAGAAGACCCCTTTAAAAGTTTGTACTACAAAATATAATAGTAGACCAGGAGGTCTTTTTTACAGCAGGGGGTTTATTAAAAATGATGTATTCTTTAAAACTTAAGGTCAATTTCTCCGCTTTCATTATTCTAGTCACAATGATTGGGCTTGGGCCATTCGTCGAGATTTTCGAAATAATATAACCAATGTTGATTTGTATGATATGACTAAATATCATGTAAACAATAGTACACCATTTCAGACAGATATAAATCGTTTACGAAAAGGTCAAGTCGGAGGACAAGTTCGTATTGAAATTTATTTTTTGATGAAAATAAAATTAAAATAAAATAGTTTTGGTCAATCTATACACGTTGTACCCATCAAGGAAAAGATGCTACTGTAAGTTTTATGGAACAAATTGATCTTATGAATCGATTAATAGCTAAAGAACCTGATGTATTTCAAATGGCTACAACCGCTGATGAAGTTCGACAAGCATTTCAAGCTAAAAAAATTGCAAGTTTATTTGGTATTGAAAGTGGACAAGCTATTGAAAGTACATTTTCAGCTTTAAGACTTTTCTATCAACTCGGTGTACGATATATGACATTAACACATAACTGTAATACACCATGGTATGTATTCGTTTCTTTTTTTCAATAATAAAATGAATTATTTACACAAATCAAAAGGGCTGATCAACATATGGTCGATCGTCCCGGTTCAACATTAGTCAAAAATAATGGATTGACAGAATTTGGAAAGAAAATTATCATTGAAATGAATCGTCTAGGAATGCTTGTTGATTTAGCACATGTATCAAAAAAAACCATGTTAGATGTATTGGGTGTTAGCAAATCACCAATTATATTTAGTCATTCATCAGCTTACACATTATGTAATCAAACACGAAATGTTCAAGATGATGTCCTTCGATTAGTTGTAAGTTTTTTTTGAAAGAAAATATATTTCGATTCTACAATTGAATTATTAATTTAGAAAGATAACCGTGGAATTGTTATGGTTGCATTTACACCTATTTTTATAACATGTGATAGTAATTATTTAGGAAATATTTCAGGTGTAGCTGGTAAAATGAGTTAACGATTTTTTTTCTCCTAATTAATTATTTAATTGTGAATTTAGCACATATTAATCATATTCGAAATATTGCTGGTATAGATAGTGTAGGACTTGGAGGTGATTATGATGGTATTGACGAGTATGTATATTCATCGTTTTTTTTCTCTTAATGTCTATTTCGATATGTTAGAACACCAGTTGGTCTAGAAGATGTTTCAACTTATCCGAAATTAATTGAATATTTAATATCACAAGGAAATTGGACCGATAATGATATTATTAAACTTATTGGTGGAAATCTTTTACGAGTAATGGAAGAAAATGAAAAGGTAGATTTAGTTGTTTTGTTCTGTGTGAAAATATACATTAATTGTTTTCTTTTAGAATGCACGTGATTTACAAGAGACAATGCAACCACTTGAAGATATGATACCTCTTGAAGATCTAAGAAAGTATAATTTTACTGAATGTCGATATTTAGACATGTATCCAAGCACTACAATTACATGATATATACTTTCAAATATTTGCTTATTTCCATTTTGAAAACGTTTTTTTTTAAATAAATTATATACCGCAATCATTATTATAAAACAAGATACGAAGATGTTGCGCTGAGTTATAAAATATGAAGGAAATCTTAAATTTTCAGAACAGAAAGTAACACTGATGGGTGTGGGTGTGGGTAAAAGTATTATGCATCCACGTCCACCTGACACCCTTAAAAATTTCTTCTTAATAAAAAACAATTCTTCCTAATAAGAACTATTTCTCTTTGGAAATAATATTATACTTTGAAGTAAAATGTATGTGCAAAAATAAGAATAATATACATATTTCGTTCTTTCATTGTATTTCTTCTTAATATGTATTACTTTTGAAAAGATGACAATATCGCTTACCGACACTTTCATTTTCTTTTTTTCCTTAAATACACACACACATCTTCAGGATGGTTTTTGAAAATTTATGTTTTTGACCACGAAATATCGTTAGACAGCTGGATCTTTCAGAAATAAAAGATCTTGATTAGATATATATGTGATAAAAATATCAGTTCTCTGGGCCAAGTAAAAGTATGAAAAACATCACTATCAAAATATCCTCAATTATTACGAAACATTCTTTATTGACTTTTGAAGCTAGACTTTTCTAGATATTGAATGACATGATATAGTTATAATTTTTATGATGCAAATAGAGTGTACCTCCAGGCATCTTTAGAAATGAAAATCAAAAAAAAATAGTCGTTTGGAAAAAGAAATCTCAATACAGAAAAATTAAAATCTTGCTCTACTTATAACTTTGAAAATGAAGTTAAAGTGATACATCTAGATTTTATCTACTTTCCTGTTAATGAAAAATATAAATAATCACGCTGAGTTCTTTGATTATTTTATAGTAAACTAGCAAAGCATATATAATTCAAAAGGTTTTGGAATAAATAGAATAAAAGCAGTATAGTTAAAAACAAATTCAAATTGAAGGAGACATATTTAAAAGAAAATTACATTGCATGACGCTAATTGAAAACTAACAATTATTTCATGAGATTTAAGCGATAGTTGAAGTAATGATTGTAATGTGACTTATAGCAGTAACAGAAATCTAAAATAGGGAACTAGAAGTTTAGAAATTATTTGATAAACAGTCGCATCTAACTAGAAAAACTCTGATTTGTAATAATAAACAAGATTTTCATTGATAATTATATTTTTTAATAAATCTTTCAATGTTTTGGCATTTTCAAAAATATAAGTTTCTCTCTCATAATTATTCATTAACTCCTAAACTGATAAAGTTTATATAACAGACGAAAAGATATTGTGGTATCTATGATAAAATAGCGTTGTTCATCACCATTTTTTCTCAGTCAGAAATTGATGAAGACCATATATGAAACAGCTTGTTTCTTTTTGTAATTATTTACGTAATAAAAACGTTTTTAATCTTTTTGTGCAGTTTAGAAATGAGCGATTCTTTCTTGCATTCATCCATTTATATATGAATCTCTTACATGAGCTATGATTCGATGTGAATTATTCATATTATGCAACTGCAAGGCTCTATATGGATTCATAATGTCTTTTTATACATTAAGTCGACATCACAACATCGAATATTCTTGGAAATTTCTCGATTACATGTAAACAACTTCAGTTTTCACTTGAAAAACTCGATTTAATAACTTTTTTTTCTATTATATAAATTGTCATGAAACTAAATTATTTTATTATTATTATTTGTGTTTAAAACATTTTGCTCACTTTTCTATTCATCCAGGCGCTCTTTTTTTGAGCGGGAAGAAATTGTGGACGGCACAACTAAATATTTTTATTTCTCATACGTCATTTTAGTAATAATCGAGTTTGTAGTTGTCAGATATTTTTTTTTTGTATATTTTTTCTTTATA